CTCAAGGAAAAATCTCTAGAGAGTGCTTAAAGATGTTATTAAGTCATAACCCAGTTTCATAACAACATGTCTGGGACAGCAGCAATGTGATGACGTCAACCAGAACAACAAGACGAATGAAAAAGGCCAGAGAAAACAAGCCAGCAGGAGAGGAAATGTCCACTGTAAGGAAGGACCACATTTATATATGATTTGAAACTGAATCATATTCCCATTCACCTTACAGAGAGTTAAATGTCACAGAAGAGCTGCTACACATTCCCTCGATGCTACTGTAACCGAGCTTTTGTATTTACTCTACCTCGTCTCTAGACGATGATGATCACGTGATCCCACTTCCAACAGCCTCCAAAGAAAATAACCCTATGGAAATAACACGGATTAGATCAAATCAGATTCTCATGCAAGAGACTTTTTAGGAGTCACACAGTAGGTTTGGGATATCTGCACAGATACAGCTCATTTTGTTGCTAAATGCTTCAAGTTTATTTTGTGACCATATTACCTGTAGGCTACATATCTTTCTTACTTTAGAGCAAAAAACAAACAAAAAAAAACAAACAAACAAAAAAAACATGGAAATGAAATAAGTCCATTTGAGTTCAAATTAATTAAAAATCTTACCTGTATATTGTCTTTATGCTTCCGCTAAGAAAAAATATAGTCCATTACAATGAAAAAAAAAAAAATCCAAATCCACGTGTCATTGTGATCTTTGATCAAAATAACTTCTGATGAGGCAACCTCACGTGAGATCCATCAATTGCAAACAAACGTATAAAAGTTACGCATTTGACGCAATTAAAGCTGCAGTTTCTGGTTGGGGAGATTTAAAGCGGAGGATAACCGAGGAAAACGGGATTATGGCAGAGTCTTCACAATTTACTGTACTCCCGTCTTTGAAACTAAAATTTGATACGTTTAGATGAAATTTTATATATAGTTATGTTTCATATAATAAACAAAGAACACATAACAAAATGAGGGGTGTCTGTTTTATGTTTTTGTGATTAACGTTTCTTTAATATAGCCATAGAGTAAAAAAAACAATATAAATTTTCGATATAAAATTGTACTCTATGATCGGCGGAAGTAATCCACCTTGACCGGAAATACCGCCGTGCGTAGAGCCCATTCCCAATGGCTACAAAAGGGACAAAAGCCCTATTTCTTCTGTGAGAAGCCGTTTCACTCAGATATAGCCTATACGTCAAAATAGGCAAAAAAGATAAAATTGCAACTTGGGAGTTTATTAAGTGAAATAAACTGCATTACGTCCAATTACTTTTATTATGCAAGTAATAGGCCTATACGTATTTTAAATAAATGTCATTTGTGTTGACCCGATTTCAAGGGTTGATTCAAATCCTCACACAACATTAGTTGCAGACAGGGAGAATTCCAATTGTAGAGAGCTATAAACACAAATGTACGTGTGTTTGAAAAGGCTGCCAGTGCATGGATTTATGGCATCAACACCTGTCGACACCAATATAAAAAGCAGTGTGAAAAGCTCTGACTCTGAAAACGTATTGATCTCACTGCCATCTTAAAAGTCTTCAAGGATCAAACAAGCTTAGGAGCTTGTGCTGTATGTAAATTAGTGTCGAGTAGCTGGATGTGTCTATTTCGATTACAATAGACTGTCATTCTCAACACAGAGATCTGTTCCATCCATCCAAATTGAGGTTTCATTGAGTGACAGCTTAATTAAAGGACTGACATACTCTGTCAAACCCATTTAATGAAAATTATGAGGATGAGAGAGAGGAAACAACAGTGTTGCTAGTCTAAAACTGTGAGTGACATCCCTAAAGTGAATTTCTCCTTAGTGTAAATAGCATCTATTCACTTGTGCAAATAGCCACTGCCCTTTTCTTTTTCAATAATCAGTTTCACCTGGATGTACACAACAAGTTTATTAAAGATCTGTCACTGTGTCCATAGGATAAGCATTTTTTTTTTTTTTTTGGCTCATGCATTGTATGCAAGTATAGATGGAATAGCTTTCTGAGTGTCAAGTCACATTGAGGACAGTGTCAAAAGTCTTTTCCTCTGAGAGAGGTCTGGAATATGTACATTAGCCAGCTGGCCACGTTCTCAGTCCCTGGCCATCTGTGTTAAAGTCTGAAATGAACACCTCATGGGAACAACGATACGTGATGAAAATGATGATGTACTCTGATAATTCAGTCAGATCACCAGAAAAATAGACCTGCCTAAATTAAAAAAAAAAAAAAAAAAGTCTGTAAATCTCAGATAAAAGCTCTGTGCACTATGATTGCTGTTGGGAATAGTATTTTCAACAGTCTATAGATAGTATAAGGAGATGTTGTACACACATGCCAATAACAAAGAGCTTCCAGGGCTTTTAGAAATTCTAATTAAAAAAAATAGTTATACAAATTGTAGGCAACACTTTACAATAAGCTTCATTAGTTATCATTATGTAATGTATTGACTAACATGAACTAACATTTAGCAATACATTTGATTTTTGTTAATGTTAGTTAATAAAATACAGCTGTTCATTGTTTGTTCATAGTTCACAGTGCATTAACTAATACAAGGTTTGATTTTAAGAATGTATTAGTAAATGTTGAGATTAATATTAACTATTATAAATGCTGAAGAAGTTTTGTTCATTAGTAAAAAATATTTTCAAGATTTGTTACCACAACATTTTTTCATTTGTCAAATCAACTTAAATAAATTATTTAGTTGAGATAACTTATTATTTTGAGTTTCTGATGATTAAATCAATCTCCTTCATTGTATTAACTCCCTTTTTCCAGTTCAATAAACTTAAAATTTTAAGGCAACCAGGTTACTTACTTTAAGTTAAACCAACAATATTTTTTACAGTGTGTTAACTAATCAACCTTATAGTGAAGTGTTACAAAATTGCACCTTATTGCATATACTAGCATGTGTAATCTAACCTATAGGCAAATAAATTATATCTATTTCAACTTCGCCTCATTAAAGTATAATCAAACTTTTTATTTACATTATATAAACTGACTTAAAAAAAAACAAGTTGAATCTCTTATAACTTAAAAAAAATTAAGCTGAAACTGGTTGATTTTTTTACATTGAACAAATTCCCAAAGGCAAAGACGAAAACGAAATAAAGGTAATCCAATACAGCTGTTCGTGTTTACTGCCACCACAATGAAAGAGAGGTGATCTATAGCAGAAAAACTAATTCTGGATATTAGAATATCAAAAATAAGATGGATCTAGCATCGAGTGCGCTCAGCCTACGTGACAAATGAATTACTGAGTATAATCTTAGTAGGACTGAGTGTCCCCTTCATGTCTCAGCTGTTCTGAACAGTGTAAGTTCACACTGGGGGAGAGTTGATGTGTGTACGGGGAGCAGCTGTAAGGCAGCTGGGATTATTCTGCAGTTACAGCAGTGTGTGCACCTGTTTCCACAGGCAGCCGGGAGCAGAACCACCCCTGACCAAATGTCTGCACCGCTGAGATAGAGCTGGGTTAGGGCACAGGTCTGTTGCCATGGCAGTGCACCTAGATCGCCTATAGAGATGTTTTGCCAAAAATGAGGAGGTGGAACTTCAAAGGGAATTATTCAGATGTAAAAATGTGAAGCTCACTAAACACAAAACAAATATATACTGATATACTGACTTTGAACATGGCATGGTTGTTGGTGCCAGACGTGCTGGTCTGAGTCTTCCAGAAACAGTTGATTTACTTGGATTTCCACGCACAACCGTGTCTCGGGTTTACAACAAAAAGAGAAAATATCCAGTTCTGTGGGTGAAAATGTCTTGTTGATGCTTGAGGTCAGAGGAAAATGGCCAGACTGATTCAACTCTATGCAAAGGAGATGTGTTGCACTGCGTGAGGCAAATGGCGGTTAGAGGTCGACCAATATGGTTTTTGTTCACACTGATGCCGATCTTTTGAAATCCGAGTCGGCCGATGGCCGATTAATGCTGCCAATTTATTTTGGCCGATATTTGCTTGGTTTTTAACCTCTATTTGAAAGATAAATTGTAAAAGAAATGATAATTAGCTACTTAACATAGACAAACTTTCTCAACAAAAATATTTTATCCTCTCAAAAGATGTCCTGAAACATGTATTTTTGGTTTGTTTTGTAATTCAAAAAGATAAATACCCTAATTATCACAAAAAAGGAGAAAAAAAACTTTAAATGATTAAATTTTTTATCTATAAGATTTATTATATTTTATTTAACTTCTAACAATAATGTATTTCACTAGTAAATTGCTGTTGAACGACAAAAACAACCACCAGATGGGAAAATTATATTTTACAAAAACTTTAAATGTACCAGAGCGCACCGTCCGTCTGTTGTTCCTCAGACAACGGCATCCCGCTGTTGGACCTTTTAGTCTACAGTGAAATACAGTCACACTTAACACTGTTTGGCCAGCATTTTAACCATGTTTAATCCAGCTACTAACTAACGGTCAGTGTTGTGCCTGAACCGAACGCGTTCAATGAACGATAGTTCATGAACGCGTTCATATTAAGGTCTGCTGCTCACTCGGCTGGAAAATGACTCTAGCGGCAGCGTGCGTCAAATACGTGTTCCACGACTACACTAGGCTGCCCACAGATGCGCCTGCCTAATTGGCTTGATATACTTGGATATTGGCCGATGCCGATTATGTAAAAAAAAAAATGCCAAAAAATCGTCCGATTAATCGTCTTCCTCTAATGGCGGTTACACCAGATACTGAGATCTTTGAGTTCAGCTCATGAAAAACAGGGGCAAAAACAAAAGTGTTGATAAGTGAGATTTTTAAATCAAATGTAACTTTTTAAAAACATTACATTTTATAATATTGTATTACTGAGTACTTCCAATTAATTCTGTTATTTTACTATTTTAATTATGAAATTTACATCATGAACATATGAATAATTTAGTCAGTTTGAATCTGTCAATGTATTGTCATTTTTTAAGAGGGTCTTTATCAACACATCACTGTAATGTTTTCTTCACTCAGTATTTTTCTTTATTAACAGCCAGGGCTCTAATTTGTACTGACCTGAAATGAATTGAATTGTGAAAGCAGTGTTTAGAACAGATGACTCCTGAAGGACATCTCCCACCAGTGGCTTAAATGAAAATAAAAGTGCACATCCGATCCTTATTAACAAAACATACGAAACAAGAAAAGCTTTTGTGCCAACACAGGCTTTATCAAGAAACATCTCACAGGTAATTCATGAAGAATATATGTGTGCTGTTAAACATCTGTGAAGCAGATAAACTTGAAACTTTTTAAGAAAAATCTTAATTTAATTCCATAAGCCTTACTGCACAGTCGAAAGAAAAACATTTCAAATTATATACTGAACAATACTGCCACCTAGAGTTAAAATGCAATATCCATCAACTCGCAACAGTATATCAACATGGAATGATATAGATATGCTAGTATATCTACTATAAAATCGAGTAACGTTTGAAATTTTTTATTACTGAAAAATATTGATCCTGGCCTTCGGTTTATTTAAGTATACACAAAAATACAATGGACATTTATATTTGACTTAACATAAAAAATACAAAATTATTAATCTAAAATTATCAAAGTAATAAAAATAAAAAATATTTTTAAAAAAGATCGAGAAATGGTTGAAAAAAGTTAAAAAGCTGTGCAAGATTGTTTTGAAAAAACACCATTCCAGATGATATATAAATGCATAAAGCATATATTTGGAATGGAAATGGCTCAGATATGTAAATCTTCCCCATTAAAAATCATCAAGACCTCAGCAATGATGTTTTATGGAATGTAAAAGTGATTAATTTTTAAAGTGTCATAACACCGTCTAGTCTGCAGTGGTCTTGGTAAATATATCACAGATGCTGAGCTGAGTTTTAGAAACCGCCAGCGCCGGATACAAGGGCTCGGTGAACTTATGCTCAAAACTGTACAGCAAAGAAAGAGCTCCTTCCCTGGCCACGCTATAAAAAGACAAGCGACCTTCGTTAAAATCCAGCAGCACTCCTACCTTCCCAAGTTCAGCGGCACACACAGGTGAAGCCACCTTATCGTGCAGAGCTTCCACCTTTCCCTTCTCATAAATTAAACACCAAGAATTGGGGTAGAAGCCAATACGGCAGACGTCCTTTTGCCCCTTCCTGCCAATCTGTCCATCACAGACGCCCAGCTTCCAGCGGCCCTCATCCAGAGAGACCTCCACTTCCCAGTAGCAGCAGCCCCCGTCTATGGCACGAGAGCCCAGCACCTGTGGAAAAATGTTAAAGCGTGTCTCCTGCTCGCTGTAGTCCTGCGGGGTCTCGCTGTACTCCACCGTACGGTTTTCATTCGACAGCAGCAGCTTTGGATGGGCAGTATCAGGATCCAGATTTGGGCTTATCCCATCTGCAGACAGAAACATCACGCGTCAGACGTAATATGTGTGTACAGGTCTTGACACTAAAGCCCGACCGATAAAGGATTTTGAAGAAAATCCGATACAAATATTTTTTGGTTTAAAAATATACCGATATTTATTTATTTTTTATTTCAGAAATGTGCAACAAAACATTAACAGATTTCCCTAACATCAGTTATTTGTAGTTATTTATGAGTTTTAACTAAAATAATATGAGAATGCATTTTAAAAAGAAACTTGTTTCTTTTATTGTCACAATAGAACAGACTGATGATAGTGGCATTAGCTAGCTTTGAGGTTAGCTAGTCTATGATGAGCCATAATTTAGCAATGGTTTAGCAATTTAGCTATATTTTCACTATAACAGGCCAAGGAGAGATGATACGTCTCATTGCTATAACTGTCACGCGCTATTAAAAAAATACTTCAGTCACGTTGTCAAAAGTTAAAAGGACATTCAGTCAACTACACTGTAACAACGTAACGTAACTATTACTAGCTAATTCCGCTTCACTCTCGGCTTATTTAACAGAAGCAAACTGGATGCTTATTTGAGTTAAGAGAACTGATGGGGATGTTCTTTTAATTGTTATTCAAGCATCTCACCAACTCAACGAGTGTTGCCAACAGGGACGGTGTAGAGTGCCCTCTGGTGGACAAACTATACAACTCCAACACTCATGACATGGTTCAAGCGTGTTTCGTCCGTTTTTATTTTTTTATTTTTGAAATATTCATTTATTGGCCATTATAACTGCCGATACCGATAGTTTGGAAAATGCCTAATATCGGCCTGGCTCTACTTGATACTAAATTTTATGGCTCACCAGACACTGTGGCTGGTGGTTTTCCAAATTTATTATCGCCTGAACATTATCACTGGGCACAATTTTGACATCGATACCATGGGAAAAACTGCCATATAGATATTTCTAATATTTTCTCATAATTTGGCAGCAGGTTTATTATGCACGGATCTATTAGGCCACGTTTACACAAAGCCGGGTATTTAGCAAAACAAATATTTTCCCCCTCTCCGTTTTTAGAAATAATCATTTTCTGTGATAAAAACGGCGTTTTTAAATGAGAGGGCAAAACGCAGAGAAATATCTGTGTTTTCCCATTGTGTAAACGGTGCTACATACACATTTTCAACTGTTTACATTCACTTAACACATAACATAACTGAAACATAACATTTTGACATCATAACATAGCATTTTGACATTATTTTGTGTGTATTTGACAAAAAGCAGCGAAAAATAACTCAATTTAGTACTGAGAGGCAGCTTTATGTGCAAGCACTGGGTGTGAGCACAAAATCTGCAGGAATGAGTACAATTATGCGCAATACCTAAACTTATAAACTATTAAAGGGTAACTAAACCCTAAAACAACTTTTTTTTAGTTGTGTAATACTGGGGCTTTATTAATGCTGTTAATTGATTCAAGTAATTTTTTTTGACATTTGGATTTAACGTGTTTTAATTCTACAATATATGGTGTGAAAACGTCTGAGTGGTGCCCTCTTCAGGTTGAACGGTGGCTACTGCAGTTGAATTTTCCTATTGGAAGTTGTGGTGCCCTGTGATGTAAGCAGGCACCAGCTAACCACGCCCTTGCCTACAGAGATGCGTCTCAGGTGCACACCCCCCAAATATATATATATACCATAGCAGTATTTGTAGAATAGTTAGGAGTGTAAATGACTCACACAGCAGTCTGAAAGGGTCTCGGTGAGGCAGTGTTATGAGCACAGTCTCCAGTCTCCTCTCGGTCCACTCATGAAGACAGTCCAGTCGGTCTTGGTTTATCTCCTGAGGAGGCTGGAGGGTTTGCACAGGGTCAGAGAGTGCAGTCAGTCTGGATGAAGACAGGGTGGTTAGTACAAATAATCAAAAACACTTAAAGGGATAGTTCACCCAAACATGAAAATTCTGTCATCATATACTCTCCCTCAAGTTCAAACCTGTATACACTTCTTTGTTTTGCTGAACACACAAGATGTTCAAACCATTGACTTCCATAGTAGTTTTTTTTTTCCATTATGGTGCCACACAACTGTTTGGTTACAGACATTCTTCAAAATATCTTCTTTTTCGCCCTGAACAAATTCATATTGGTTCGAAACAACTTGAGGGACAGCAGATGATGACAGAATTCTCATTTTTGGGCGAACTATCCATTAAATATAAGTATATATATCCAAATCACCAAATAATTGAACCATTGTACTTACTGTCCTGCTATTTTGCTGTATTCCTGAAATAAACAGCAAGAGTTGCATTACATATACAACTTAGCTAAAATCAAAGTACCAAAATGTGTTTAATAAACAAATCTACAAATCTCTCATTAGCTATGTTTCCATCCAAAGTTACGAATTAAACCCCCACAAAACTTAATTATTTACTTTAATTAATTACTTTAATTATTTACTTTAATTAAATTTAATTATTTAAATCACATTTAATTGTGATTATCAAAATACATTATTTGTATTTTGATAATCACAATTATCTGCTGGTTAGTCCAGTTATCCAATCACATGCTCTGTTGAGACGCGAGTTTTTTGTTGCGCATCAAGGTAATTGTGTTTCCATTGTAGTTTATGTCTTCATATCTGTTAAACACATTATCTGCATCAATTGAGCACATACGTTTTAATGCGAATTTTTGCGAATTTATGCAATTAATGCATTTTTTGACATGTTATCCCAAAATGAGCATGAAAATAGAAGGATGGAAACGTAGCTAGCTAATGATCACTGCTGCTTGTCGTACCATGATGAAGGCCTGGTCCTGGTACTGTGACACCCGCTCAGCATTGGTGATTCCCTGCAAGGTGTTTAAAATGGTCTGGCTGGATGTTAAGGCGCCCTGTAACGTGTCCAGCTGCTTGTCAATGCTTCCCAGCACTCTGTGCTCTTCCTGGGCCACGCAGCGTAACGCCTGTCCCTCCTCGTGCTCCAGAGCCTCTCGCATCACCTGATACTGCTGTAAAACAGCAGCCCGCATGTCCTCCAGCCCCGTCTACAAGAGTCAGGGACAACGAGTTACTGCACACAGTTCACATCTTAGTTTATGCTATCTTTTCTGTTAGGGAATTGGTCAACACTAATATTGGCTTGACGAACGAGCTGTATAAGATCAATCATTTTGTTCCTAAAGCAAGTTTAAAAACAACACAAGTGCTTTAAGACCAACCAACCAGACCCAATGTGTTATATTAGAATCATTTTATATACTTGTTGCTTGTATTTTTCTATTTTCTTTCGTTACGTTACTGGTTTCTATTCAGCGATTTCTAATTGCAATTAAATTTCTATATACATATTTCTCTTTCAATATTAATACTTCAACCGATCAGTTAGCAGCCCAGGCAACATTTCTAATTTTCATGTTTTAAGTTGAAGTTTTGCATCTAATATTGACACTTCATTTTATTTCAATGTAATTATAACGGACACATTTTAGTTATTTTTGTTTTGTTAATAAGAACATTGGATCAAAGAAAGCTTAAAAAAAAAATTAATAACTATAAAATAGAAAATGAAATGAACACTTGCAACAACATGATACACTTACACTTACCTGGACACCATGTTTTTTCTCACTGAGCTCAGAGAGTTTTTCCTGAATGGACTTTTCCGTTTTTTGTATTTTTTGCATCTCATCCTTCAGTGAGCCCTGAGAAATTAATGTAGATGAACCCCAATGAGCAAAGAATGCATTAAATTGATCAAAAGTGACATTTATCATGTTAAAAAATATTTCTATTTCGAATTCAGGCTTTTATTTCACATATAGACATTCATCAACTCACACATCAGTCGTGGGAAACGGTAGCCCAATCACGTTCGCTTGACGTGCGAGAAACCAATGAGGTTCATTCTCGTGTTACAGCACGTTTGAGCTTAAGTTTATTCGCTGATCAATGTTTATATTAGGGCTGTCAAACGATTAATTGCATCCAAAACAAAAGTTTGTGTTTACATAATATACAGTATGTGGGCGTACTGTGTATAATTATTTTGTATATAAATATATATAAATACACACATGCATGTATATTTAAGAAAAAAATATTTAGATTTAAAACATTTATATTTGTATATAATATAAATTATATATAAATCTACATACACTCAAAAGCATGTGTGTGTAATTATATATTAAATAATTACACACATATATTAAATAATATTTTATATATTATTATATATATTATTATAAATAATATTTAATATAAAATTATTTAATATATAATATATACATATATTATATATTAAATAATTACACACAATGCACCCACATATATTATGTAATGGATGCGATTAATCGTTTGACAGCCCTAGTTTATATGCGAATAAAAGACTAAATTTGACCTGTTCATCATATAAAGCAATCGAGTCTCTTCAGAAAATTTGGACTAAGCCACTCAATTCATGTGTAAGTTTTATGATCTCTTTATGAACTATTTGAAGCGTCAAAGTGATTGTGTAGCTGTCAATGAAGGGACAGAAATCACTCAAATTTGATCAAAAAAAGATCATTTGTGTTCCGAAGATGAACGAAAGTCATGGTTTTGGTTGAACTATCCCTTTAAAAAAACAGTTGAACGATAGTGTACTACTCTAGATGACATGCTTCAAACCTACACTATTCACAATAGTAACATGAATGTCGAGCCACATAACGATTAATCACGGTTAATCGCATCCAAAATAAAAGTTTGTGTTTACATAATATATGTGGGTGCACTGTGTATAATTATTTTATTTATATATATATATATACATACACATGCTTGTATATATTTAAGAAATATTTTCATGTATATAGATTTATATACTGTATAATTTATATTATATATATATAAATAATAATTTTTTTTCTTAAATATACATGAAAATAATTTAAAAAAAATAATATTAAAAAATAATATTTATTAAAAAATAATAAAAAAAATAATTATACACAGTGCAGCCACATGTATTATGCAAACACAAACTTTCATTTTGGATGCGATTAATCGCGATTAATCGTTTGACAGCACTATAATTTATCAATAAAAACCATTCGAAAGGAGAAAAATAGTGGCAAATAATGCCTCACCCTGAGCTCCTGCTCTGCCTCGCGGATGCTGATGCACTCGTGCCCCTTGTGCGACCCGACCAGGGAACACACAGTGCAAACACACACTGCACATGATCGGCAGTAGATCCGGTTCATCTCCTGGTGCTCTTGGCATCTCCACAGAGACACGTCCTCCACGGCGTCCACAAGCGGGTGGTTCTGGAACACAGGCTTTTCCAGGTGCGCGCGCAGGTGCTCGGAGCACATGGACGCCCCGCAAACCAGGCAGGTCTTTACCGCCACCTTCTGCTCTGAACTGGGACAGTAATGGCACGGCACAGAGCTGCTCCTGGAAAGTCTCTCTGATGATGTAGACGCGATCCTGAGGGAAGCTGATTCACTGTTAGAAGCACTGTCCTTTTCCCGCCTTCCAAGCGAATTGACTGCGGGTAAGTCACTGGCTTTTGGTGGCTCTTCTTTCTCTCCCTGAGACGTGCTGCTTCTCCTGGGTGCGCCTGTGTCACCGTGTGAAGCCACGGTGTGCTGGTCTTGCTGAGAGGAACTTGTGTGAGGAGATTCTACATGAGGAGATGTGATCTCCATTGTTTCTGGAGGTGTGTGTTGTGTCGATGTGTCACTTGTAGAGGTCATCGCCCAAACCACTGATGGAGTCTGGCTTTCAGATGGGCGTTCATCTGCCGTGGCCTTTCTTTTCCGTGGTATTGATGTTTCTTCATCAGAATCATTGATGGCGATTACATCAGGGTCACTGATGTCATTGAATGGCGCTGTGCCAAGTCTCCATCCGCCACCATGGAACGCCGAACCGAACTTCCTCTTCCCGGGCCATTTCTTCGAGTGTCGGCCATGGTGCTTCTTTTTGAAGGGCCAATCTAGAGGAAAACATGGAACCGCATTAATGTATACGTACTTTAAGTGTTTTACTCCAGTGTTGATTTTATTAAAACTAACAGATTACAAATTTTTATTTTTTGATAATTTGTTCGTTCGGTTGTTGAATGAACCAAATGACTCGGAAAAAGATTCGTTCATTTTGATGAACGAGTTCAAACAGGAGATGTGCGTCACAGAACAGAGCAAGGCGAGCATTTGAGCTTATAAAACTTCAACTTTGTTATTTATTTATTAAATGAGCGATCGTTTCGCTTGATAAGACCCTTATTCATCGTCTGGAATTGTTTAAAGCCTTATGAACAGTTTGCACTGAAAGTGTCTTTTGGACCTTGAGTCGTTTGGTTCCCACTAAAGTCCATTATATGGAGTAAAATGCTTGAATGTTTAATTTCATTTTGAACTGTAGCAAGAAAGAAAGACATGGACATCATGGATGACATGGGGGTGAGTAAATTATCAGCAAAAGTTTTTTCAAAAGTGAACTACTCCTTGAATATCTGCTAATACTTTATTGTGATGCTCCCCAAAAGACATTTTACTGACTATAAGTAACTTTGCGACTACATGTCAACTTAATCTAACCCTAACCATACTACTCTATTAATATTCTAATGAGAGTTAGTAGACATGTAGGTGCAATGTTACTTTAGGTCAACAGAATGTGTTAAAGGGCCCATCAAAATCAAGTGAAACTGAATATTTTGTTAATCATACCTCAGTTGTAGTCGTTTTTTTAACTTGTTTACCTACTAGACAAAATATACCAAGGGCCTGATATGAATTCTTTGACATGTGCAAGGTAACTGTCACTAATTTACTAATTAACTAAATATTAGTTTTTACTGTACATTATTTCAAATCATTTTACAATTGTAAAATTATACACAAAGTATAAAAGAAATATTCAGTGGTGTATTATAATATTTAAAAAAATAATAACTTTTCCTAAGTTTTCTATATATAATTTCTCTCTTTGAATACTTTTAAACATAATACATTCGATATTGCCTCACTGATGTTGTTTGGAAAATTACTGAAAATAACAAACAATATCATAATTCTCCCGTGATGTATAGTCTATAAATTACAAACTGTGGAACATTGTTAGTAGAAAAAATAAACGAATGAGACTGTAAAGTCTTAATTTTCTCTAACTCTATACGAAGAATGATCTATAAATGCGTCCTCCTGTTCACTATTAAAGCATTATGCCTGAAACCTGTTATGAGACAGCTAGGCTAACGTTAATACATCAAAACACAGGAGTAAATAGTGGCCTACGTCATGGTCAATACACATGTGCACTACAAATATAACATAGGCTAGAAGTAACTTATATCTATCAAATTCCAGGTTTGTTTAGTGGTGTGTTAGTGAACGTACGTGTGTTTGCTGTGGCTGTAGATGTCGAGGCTCCGTCCATGTAGTCCGGCAGCTGCTGGTACTCATATCTACACTCGGGGCAGTAATACGGTCCAGTGTCAGATCCACTCCATAACTCTCTGATACAAACCCGACAGAAGCTGTGATTGCATCCCAGCGTCACCTGATCCCGACATTCCTCGTGACACAGAGGACATTTCAGAGGTTTGTCATTAGATGCTCCCATCATTAAAGGTTTGTTACTGCAGGACGTCTCTGGATCGAGGAAACGAAACTGACCTAAGACTGAGTGGGCGGAGCCTCACCTTTTGAATCGCGCACACTGCTCTCTTAAAGCGACAGTACACAATGTTTTCTTCTATCTATCTATCTATCTATCTATCTATCTATCTATCTATCTATCTATCTATCTATCTATCTATCTATCTATCTATCTATCTATCTATCTATCTATCTATCTATCTATCAAGCATTGTTCTTAAAGCAACAGTGCATTTTTTCTTTGCACGACCATCATAATCTATCTATCTATCTATCTATCTATCTATCTATCTATCTATCTATCTATCTATCTATCTATCTATCTATCTATCTATCTATCTATCTATCTAATTTTTTAAATAAAATTACAATAATGTGTTTGTCTTAAACAAAATGCAAATATACTTCAAATAAAGTACAATTTAGGTCCAAGCACACTGGACCGCACAGTGAGCACAGGATTTAGGGACACACATTCTTATTCAATACATTACTGACACAACATTCATGACATTGACTTATTTTATTTTAGATTTATTAGAAATAAACTGAATGTCGACAAAAATAAAAAAGTATGGGCTCATTGAGTAATGAATTATTTGATTTTGGTTTATATTATCATGCCATCATCGTAAGGGCCACTAATGAAATCCAATGCATTGTTGCATCCAATCCAATGAAATGCAAGAAACAAATTTACTTGTTGCATAACAGATTCATATCACTCTATAAACATCACATTGAGTTACTTCACAAACAAGCACACATACACAAACTAAAATGAAAGTGCATTGAAGCACTTTTACTACTAAAAGTTGAAAATAGGCCATAAGAGCAATGTATGAGAAAATCTAATAAACTGATTAAATAAAAGTAAAACAATACATTATAGCAATGTTATCCATATTAATGTCAATCACATTATTCCTCTTCCCTGATATCAGTTATTGGTTTAATTATTATAGCGTTCGGTGTGCATTCAGTTAAAAAGTCCTCTCTACAAACACAAGGATCAATGTTCAGTGTTTGGACATCTGAACTTGAAAAGAGAGGGAATGCAAAAGTGAAATGGCCTCCTGCCTATCACTAGGAGAAACCAAACGTTGTTGATCGGCCTGGTCTTCATCCAGCGCCTCAGTATGCAGGAGCATTGCGGATTGCACAGCAGAGGACCATGGTGAAGATCATCTCAAAAACCTGGACACGAAGCAGAGAGGAAATTATACACACAGGGACATTTTGGGAGGGGTGGTGAGTTATTCTAAGTACAAGTCTGTAATTGTGCATGTGTGTACATTCTCACCATAATGACAGCGATCACTAGGGCGGCCAATCCAATGATATGGAGTTTCTCAGAGAACAGGTCCCTTAGCTTCGTGTGGCAACTCTGAAGTGCACAACACCATTTTCAATCAAAACTTAGCATTCTCTAAACTGTAAGTGCAATTGTCACAACAGTTTATTAGAACATCTGAACTCTGCTGCATGTCTGTAAAAAAAAGCTTTTGCTGATAATTTACTCACCCCCATGTCATCCAAGATGTCCATGTCTTTCTTTCTTCAGTCGAAAAGAAATTAAGGTTTTTGATGAAAACATTCCACAATTTTTCTCCATATAATGGACTTCAATGGGGACCAAACGGTTCAAGGTCCAAACGAGAGTTTCAGTGCAGCTTCAAAGGGCTTTAAACGACACCAGACGATGAATAAGGGTCTTATCTAGACCGAAATGAACGAAATGACTCGAAAGAAGATTTGTTCATTTTGAGTCTGAACAGGAGAGTCACGAACGCGCATCACAGAACAAAACAAGGCGATAATTTGTGCTCATAAAACTTTTTTTTTTTTTTTTTTTTGAAATGACAGATCATTTCGCTAGATTAGACCCTTATTCATCGCCTGGAATCGTTTAAAGCCCTTTGAAGCTGCACTGAAACTCTCGTTTGGACTTTGAACCGTTTGGTTCCCATTGAAGTCCATTATATGGAGAAAATCCTGGAATATTTTCATCAAAAACCTTAATTTCTTTTCGACTGAAGAAAGAAAGACATGGACATTTTCATCTTGGATAACATGGGGGTGAATAAATTATCAGCAAAAGTCACTTTTTTAAAAAATGAACAACTCCTTTAATGCTTCAAAACCTAATGTGTGGTAAATCGGCCAATGCCACCAAAATAAAAGTTTTTTTTGTCATTGTGTGGTCAAATGTTTAAATGTTGTTTTACCATAAAAATATTTGTCATATACAAAAGTCATGTTTTTTGTTGACAACAGATACCTGAGAGATGAGCAGGTCGACTTGGTTGGTCTTCTTGGGACACAGAGAGGCCTGGACAGCTGTGAAAAGTTCATTATCATCCCCTTTACCACAGCACTCAAGCTAGATATGGAGAGAATGTGAAAACGATGGGATGGGGATTATTAACTGGTAAAGGCAGAGGAGTTTTGATGAGAGAACTGATTTTGGAAACTCACTGTGTCATGGAAGACCTCTAGGACTTTGGCAGCGGCCTGTTTGGATGTCGTCTCCACAGGATCCACAGCTTTAATGTACGCCGTATCATAGAAGTTAATGAGCTCAGTGGAGATCTGGACGGACACAAAGAGGAGAGTGATGCTCTCAAAATGAAGGTCTTAACAAACAGACGTTGAGTCTTTGAGTGTATATGTGTGTGTAGACATACTGTGTCCCTGTTAATAAAGCCCCATATTCCTGCTGCCACCTCACAGGCGAAGAGGATCACTAAACATGTGAAGAACTGAGGGGGAAAAAGACAGAAATGTGTGATGATGAAAGAAGTACTGGAATAGGAAGGTATGAGTATGACTTATGTTTTTTTTTGTGCTTAGTTGACCCTTCGCTAAGCCACGTGTCTTAGCAACCGTAACTAGGGAGGGCGGGGCTTAGTGAAGGGTCAATTGTATTGACCGAGTACTTTTAGTGTACTTTAAATCTTGAAAGTATATATTTTTTAAAACTAAACATGCAAATGGCCGCTTAAGTTTACACTTTCATGATTTTTAAATAGTGCACTTTGTCATAATGTAAAATGAATAGTTTTACGTTCACATTTTAGGCACATTTCGAATAATTTATTAATGCTACACTTATTTTTTGACCTCCAAAATGAAGCACGTATTATTCTTATTTTTAACCACAATTTGTTTGATTATTTGAAAATACATTTAAAATTAAAATACTTCAAAATAAATGTACTACATTGCAACATTATTATCACAAATACATTTAATTATCTGATGTACAAGTTTCAATAGGAATTATATATATTTTAGTTTGGTTGATTTAGCACTACACTTTAACAATATTGCAAAGATATGAAATAATTATGAATTATACATATATCCCAGTTTTGAGGGCCTTTAAAATTCAGCTAATTACATTTAATATTAATGTAAACTATAATAGTTTAGGTTTCATGTGTTAACCAATATATTCTATTATCTATTATTAAAAAATATCATGTTAGTTCACAGTGCATTTACTTGTGTTAACAGATATAACTTTTGATAATAATGTAATAGGCTAAATGTTGATATTAACATTAGATTAATAAATGCTGTAGAAGTATTGCTCATTGTTAGTTCATTTTAACTAATGTAATTAACTATAATGATACCAAATGAAACCTTATTGTAAAGTATTTGCTAACTGATCAACACGTCCAAAAACATTATATTCAGTTATGCTTTTCTAAAGTAATAGATAATGCTAAAGTAAAGAGTACATCTTTTTTCACAAGGTTATTGTCAACTACTGAAAGAGTGCGTGGTGAAACTTGGGAACAATTTGTGCAAACTGCAATGGTTTTAAACCGTACAGCTCTTGTAAAGGTCTTCTGAAGATGAATGGTGAATCTATTAAAGGCATGCAGAATGAACAATATGAGTTGAGTAAAACCCACCGTTCCTAAGAGACATTGAGATTCCTGAATCGCTCCATAGCAGCCGAGGAAGCCCACAAACATCATTACAGCCCCAATCGCTATGAGAACATACACACCTGAAAGAGCAACACAGATTCACATCAATTGCACATGTTCACAGTTTCTATAGGACTCATTCATCATCATTTTTAGGAACCGCTAATGCAATATTTTGCCACTAGATGGCATGTGTGCATCCGTGTTGAACATTACCTCAAATAGTGAATGCATTTAAAACTACTTTATGTGGAGTATATAGTCTTCATCCTAATGATAGATAAATAAATGAATGATAAATAAAACAATGCATGACTAACTGCAAATTAAGCTCTCTTATGTCTCACTTTTCTCAGTGGAATTCAGAGGCAAAAACTAACAAACGCTATTGAGTATTTTCCTGTCTGACTTACAGTACCATTTAAACACTGCAAATACAGAGAGAAAATCTCAGGCTCAGACTTATAGGTAAAAGAGCATGTTACCATACAAGCTATAAACAGGCATAGGAAGATCAAGTCTAAACAGGAAACTTCCACATAACAGAGCAAGATTAGCTTTCTGTGCCCATTAGACTGAAAACACGACCGTCTCTAAACACATGGAAAACTTGTTCAGGGAGAAAAAGAATAAAAAAGTTCAGGGAGTTTGTTCTAAACCTCTAGACCAAAAAATGAAACTGACAATACCCGCAATGTTAGTAAAAAACAACAGTTACTGGCTTCCCTTTTGAAAAAGTAGACTTTAGCATACTGCACAGTCCTAATATATAGTCTATGCCATGGAAGCTTGTTTCCACCACAGAAAAAAACAAGACTTTTTATCTCACAATTGCGAGTTACATCTTGCAATAATGACTTTATATCTTGCAATTCTTAGAAATAAAGTCAGAATTGTGAGATAAACGTCGCAATTACCTTTTTTGAAGGCCCTTACCTATTTTTTATTCTGTGGCGAAAACAAGCTTCCATACACTTCATATATTCTAATATGCTAAAGTGTGAACAGAATGTAATGGTTTAGACACTTAAAGGAGTAGTTTACTTTTAAAAAAAACAACTTTTGCTGATAATTTACTCACCCCCATGTCATCCAAGATGTCCACGTCCTTCTTCAGTTGAAAAGAAATTAAGGTTTTTGATGAAAACATTCCAGGATTTTTCTCCATATAATGGACTTCAATGGGAACCAAACGGTTCAAGGTCCAAAAGACACTTTCAGTGCAAACCGCGAACTGTTCAAAGGGCTTTAAACGATTCCAGATGTTGAATAAGGGTCTTATCAAGCGAAACGATCGCTCATTTAATAAATAAATAACACATTTTAAGTTTTATAAGCTCAAATGCTCGCCTTGCTCTGTTCTGTGATGCGCGTTCGTGACTCTCCTGTTCGAACTCGTTCATCAAAATGAACAATCTTTTTCCGAGTCAATTTGTTCGTTTCCTTTGTTGAATGAACCAAATGACTCGGATGAACAAGTTCGAACAGGAGAGTCACGAAGTTGCATCACAGAACAGAGCAAGGCGATCATTTGAGCTTATAAAACTTAAAATTTGTTATTTATGTATTTATTAAATGAGCGATCGTTTCGATTGATAAGACCCTTATTCATCATCTGGAATCGTTTAAAGCCCTTTGAACAGTTTGCAGTTTGCACTGAAAGTGTCTTTTGGACCTTGAACCTTTTGGTTCCCATTGAAGTCCATTATATGGAGAAAAACCCTGTAATGTTTTCATCAAAAACCTTAATTTCTTTTCGACTGAAGAAAGAAAGACATGGACATCTTGGATGACATTGGGGTGAGTAAATTATCCGCAAAAGTTTTTTTTAAAGTGAACTTCTCCTTTTAGTAGACAGCAGCATTTAATACAATTAGCACTTCATTTACTGACGGAACTATGGGGGCACATAAGACAAAAAAAAGATTGTGTAGGCCTATATTAACTATATACTTGTATCATATATCCTCTTTAGTAGTCTATATGATGATGTATTCTCTTTCATTGCTCAAAAACACACTTCCCTCGCTGAAGCCCAAGCTCCACTCTCTGTTTAAAACTTCTATTTAGGGATTTTAGCGTATTCTCCAGCCAGATTTCTCTCTAAGCTGTAATGATTTGCTGGGGCGGCCGGTCTTGAACATATTTTTAGGGTTGTTTAACCGGCACTTGAGCGAACCCAAGCACTGCTCATTCTAATTTGTGGTGTAACGGGCTCATGAGCAAGGCTTTTTCAATTACACGGACGTTCAGTAGCAGTGGGAGAACAACTCTTCATCTCTCTCTTCTTTCTCTGGGTGGGCCAGACCAACAACCCTTTAAACTTCTTTAATCAGAAAAGGTTGTTCCTGCTATAAAAAGGAACAGGCGGAGCTCTTGCTCCTACATGTACTTATACAGAGCGGAGAGAGACAACCCGACGGTTTCTAAGAAAAATGAATGGCCGCTAACTCTATGCTAGTGCCCACAACAAGCTGACCTTGTGCCACTGAACTTTGTGTGCATCTGCTGTGGTTAAGTGTGTGTGTGCACATACAGTACGGGTGGAGTATGAACACGCCCTGTGGTCACTTTTAGTCTTTCCCTGGTTCTTTTAAAACACCCTGTGGGTGTGTCTGTAGAATCACTGACTTTGTGTAAAAACAGTCAAATAAAGTGTTATTAAAGAAAATACAGGAATGACAACATGACTCCATCTGCTTATGCAATGATAATGCGCTGATGCCATCATATTAATCGTTTAAACACACACGTACACACAAGGTGATTTAGTGGCCCTGTCAAAGTCCAGCTTAGACCTTGCTTCCCTCTTCCTTCCATCTTTTGAGATGCACCTCTATTTCAGGAGTAATTGTTTCTCAAAGTTCATAGTGCAAAGGCTTCCTGATAGCAATGAAATCAAATTTGACTATTCTTATTTTATTACGGAATATAGCGGGATTTATTATAAATGATTTAACTGTGCAAATAGGGTGACCACCTGCTAATAAGCCCAAGGGGTATGTTTCTGAGGGACAATGTGGGACACTGCTTGGCGCGGCGGTGCCCCCACCCCACGGGCAGACTCTGATAGTGGTTTACCCATATCTAGAACTGTTACTATTGCCTTACTGTTTGTACATGAATAATTGTTCAAAAAAAAAAAAAAAAGCACATACTGTAACTGTACCTTACATACATTAATGCCCTATTCCCTAAACATGTGTAATTGCTGATATATGCTCATGATAGGCCAACCAATGTGTATTTTTTTTTTTCTAAATAAAGATGAATATTTTGAACATTAAATGAATTGACAGATGCACTTCCACTTACGATTTACTTTAGCTATTTAATTTTATTTATTTTTCATTACAATTAATTCACTTTAAATAAATAAAAATATAAAATTATAGGATTAACGGGAATTATAGTTGCTCAACACCACAGGAACAGTTTTTAAAAAAGTCGAAAAAAAGTCTAAACTCACAACTCCAGAGGTTCACGGAACGAGAAGCTGCGCTGTCATGACACCAATGAAAAAGTTGACATCAACCTAGTCAGCAGGTCTCGACGTGGGAGTGGCAACCAGTCTTGGGGAAGTTCACTTTCTACATGAACTAGTTCAAAGTTCAGTTCACACATTTTAAAATGAACTAGTTCAGTTCAAAGTTTGCACAGAAATGTAAGATTTTTCCCATTTTCACCGACCTCGTTATAAAATCCGTTTAAATTATCATACGACGCCTTTGTCGACGGCGGCCGTGGTGCGACACTGGTGGCTTGTGTTGCCAGATTGGGTGTTTTTTCGCTACATATTAAGTCCTGTTTACGGTGATTTTTAGCCGGGTTTTCACCTGGAAGGCTCTATAGAAATCTGGCACCCCATTGAACGAAGTTAAACTGAGAGAGCGTGCGTTCACAGACACCAGAGTGAACGAGTTCCCACGTTCATCAGGACAGGTAGTAAAACAATACGTTCAGTTCACCCAAAATATGAACGAGTTCATGAACGTGAACGTGTTCAGGCACTAGGTTTGGCTGCCTGGGTCTCGAGGATATAGACTGACCGACTTTTTTTTTTTTTTTTCAGCAAGCATTGATTATGCGTGACACGGTCTCAATTTGCGGGATGCATTGGGCTTCAAACGCTGTGCGCGCACGCGCTACGCGGGACGGGTGGTCACCCTATGTGCAAAACATCATTATTTAAAAATGCATGTGCCCTCATAATCAAGATTAGGGACGAAATAAAGACACAATAGGGAAGAAAAGACTTGAACTTCCATTTCAAGTCAACTTTTACAATATAAATTCTGATTGGCTGGAAGGTGTGCACTATTCTATTTTAATACGCTGTTTTCATTGAAACACATCACTACACTATATTTCTCAGCAACAGGGGTACCATTGCTGGTTTTGAAGTAATTCAACTCACAGCTTTATTGTTAATAGAGAGAGACGCTGAACAGACGCAGGTAATTCACACACACGCATCTCTCATCTCTCTCTCTCTCTCAATAATTAATTCAAATAAATGCTATAACTCATTAACTCAAATAAATGTAATATTACAGCACTACTTGATCTCTGTGTCAGATTTAAAGCAGGCAGAATGCCGTAACTGACCTTAATACAAACGGCGATTTTTGTCAAGTATGCACTGCAAATATCAATAACAGTGGTTCTTTTACTCCACGTCGTTCATTAAAATCATTCAATGCGCAGTAGGGCTGTCAAACGATTAATCGCGATTAATCGCATCCAAAATAAAAGTTTGTGTTAACGCAATATATGTGGGTGCACTGTGTATCATTATTTTGTATATATATATATATATAAATACACACACATGCATGTACATTTAAGAAAAAAATATTACTTATATATAAAATATGTATATATAATATAAATTTTATATAAATCTATATACATGAAAATATTTCTTTAAATATATACAAGCATGTGTGTGTATTTATATATATAAAATAATTATACACAGTGCACCCACATATATTACGTAAACACAAACTTTTATTTTGGATACGATTAATCGCGATTAATCGTTTGACAACAACATTACACACTAACTAAAGTTTTAAACATGGGATCACGAAGAATGGGACCTTTAAAGGAAAATTCCGGTCAATTTTAACATTGAGCTCATTTTTTTGTACATTTGGAGTGCTGTCAGTACAGACAAAAACGACAAAAATCGGTGTTGCCTACACCATGTTATCCTCTTTTTAATATTTACACCCTGTTGACTTCAATGGGGCATGTTCTAAACCTGCTTTTTAGCCTCTTAACATCCTCGATTTGTCATTATGAGTGCACAGCCATGTGAGCGGTGTTATTAAGAGTGACCACGGTCAATCTGACTGCAGTAGACGTGAAAGATATGAATAAAAAATGATGTTAATTCAGCCAGCTCACATACCCGTGTTTAGTTCCCGTTTTCGGTCTAAGACCACAGTAATCGATTGTTGAGTTTGTGTGCGTGATGGCCTAGCCAGCTGTAGTGTGTGAGCGGAAGTCACTTACTGATATAAAAGGTCCCTGGTGCTTGAGTCCCTTCAAACTGGAGCATTAGGAGATTGCTGGTCTGATTGTCATGGCGAAGCCACAGAGCTACACCCAGAATCACTCCACCAGCCAGCTAAAAATAAGAGAAGACCAAAGAGAAAAAGATTCACTATTTAAATACTGAAATCCTACAGATCGTCATCGCCCACAAATGTTTGTCTCAATTCTTTTTCCGTAGGTCATTCCAGAGGTCATTTCTTCCTGCATCTGGGGAAGAAACATCTGACAGGTTTAGTGTTATTCACGCACAAAAAAAGGGTGGGTGTCCTCTTCAGTCTGCTCTGCTGTGATACCCTCTGTTTGCTTCTTTTTTTGTGATTCAGGAAGCGGCAGCTTTACTCAGAGAATGGTGGATGTCAGGCAGATGTATTTTTTTTTTTGTTGGCAACATGTAAAGTACAATGACAGGAAACAATACGCATCTCGAGAGAGCTGTGGATGTGATATCACACAACATCATTCTCATGAAAGCCGAAGGTCTCGGATGAAAACATGAATTTTAATTTGCAGCGTTGGGAAGTAGACTTTTATTAAGATGAGTCAGAAAATTACGTGATTTTTAGTTTTAGTTTTTTGAAAGCGGTCGGTAACCATCATTTATTTCCAGTAATGAATGTTATTACAAAATGTTTGTCTTGTTGCTAAATGCTAATTTGACTTTTCTCAAAACGCATAATTAGCTTTACTGTATGATATCACTGTTTGAACATCATGTGATGTTTTAATCAGAGCAGACTGTATGTCAACATTTTATGAAGTTATGCACACACACATAAAGAACACAGATTAACTACATTTACTAAAACAACTTGTGTGCCTGTGATTCTTTCGCATGTGTTTCAGTTCTTTTAAGGTGTATTCATGTCCCTAAAGCACATAATTATAGAGAGTGTAAAAATATAGCAAAACCACAGCTAACCCTCATTCTACAGGAGGCTCTCTGGAGGGACAACATCAAGACAAACTCTGACTACACTATTTAACTGACTGTGAGAGGCAAAATAAACTATGCTTTAACAAAATATTATGCACACAAACACCAAATTATCTATGACATGAGTTAATGTATAGGTATGCGTTTTAAATGTCCTTAAACTCAAACACTTTATTTTGTCCTTCTCCTTTTTGAGCATTATTTTGATTCTGTAAAACAGCAGCATGGATATTCTTCAAAATATCTCGTTTTGTGCTCCAAAGAAGTTGAAATGAAATGAGGGGGGTTATGACAGAATAATTATCTTTAAATTTAGATCTCAAATCCAGTCATTGCAGAAATCAGACAAGACATAAAACAACAAAAACACTGTGGGAAAAATCTGTGAGAAGAATGGTGAGAAGAAATGGGGGGAGAAGCACATCTAATCACTTCAGATGGGATGATTGTTTAGAGTCAACTTTTTTTTTGCTTTTCTGCACTGAAGACTTGGCTTAAATCAGGACCTTTGGATTAATTTAACAGTAGTATTTTACATTATTTTAGTAATAACAAATATCAATATGACATAAATGTATGATACCATAAAATACCTTTTCTTTTTCATGATAAAGCTGAAGGGGAAAATGTAAAGGTTATCTGTGGACAAACGTTCTTCCAGTAAAGAGTGTTTATTCAAAGTTAATCTGGTCTGTAATCAAGCTCTCAAAACACTAGCACAACTTAGCTATATGTTTACAACTATTTTTTTTTCTGAAAGGTTTTAGTTGAACGTTTTTTTACATGTTAAATTGTTTTATTTTAGCAACTACATGTTTTATAATCTTCAGAGAACATTCAGTACACATTCCCAAAGTGTTTCCTTGACGACTGAAGTAAAAACTGGACAGAGAACATTCAGAAATAACATTTTCAGAACTTTATGGGAACATAAGCAAAATGTTATGTCTTAGAAGGTGTTTTGTTAGCTATTGGATTACTTTAGACTTTTTCAATAGTAGTACAAGGAACACTAAAAATAATATCGGTAAAGAAGCAAACTTACCCAGAAAATGAAGTTTAAGAAGAAAAGCATATATTTGATGCACTGAGAGCAGCCGGTAACAGCCATGGCTTGATGTCGTCGAGGCGGGCGCTGAAATGATGCTGGTCTGGAGGAAGATGAGTGTCAGTCTCTGTTCCACAGATGGATTTGAGTGGAAGTGAAGGCAGACCGGATCTCTGAGACTACCCACGAGCCCATGTGTTTATATAAACGCACTGAGCCAGAAAAGATAGAGAGAGAGAAAGAGAGAGAGAGAGAGAGAGAGAGAGAGAGAGAGAGAGAGAGAGAGAGAGATGTCCCGTGCCAAACTCAGCCTCACGTTATTTACATATAAAAACCTTGTTTTAATTCATTAAACGGCAATGCATGACGAATCTAAATTCACATCAGTTAACAAACTGTCTCTTTTGTTTATAGTTTACATTATAAATTCACTAAAATAATTTTAAAAAAAAAAATGTAAAAAAAAAAATTAGCCAACGATTTAGGCCTAGCCTACTTTTTTTCTTTTTTTAAGGGGCGAGCGCCACACCTTGTATTTCTGCTTCTGTTAGTTAGTGGAGACTAGATAGGGCGTCCTGGGCGCTGAAGATTATTATTTTCTTCTTTATTTTCTTAGTTAGGATTAGAGGTTATTTAACAGCTAGACTTCATTTGGTTTTGTTCTTTTCTTTTCTTTGGCGCCGTCCACGTCTATCTTTTCTTCTTATTAACTTTATCCACCTTACAGAAATTCTGTATAACATGTCCATTTTTATATTTATGTTAATCTATATTCGTATAGATTAAATTCTCTTCACTTTTGCCACTGACCTTATTTGTTAAATAAAGGTTTTGGCTTTTTGCACAGTAAATCTGGTTGTAGAGTGTTTTTTTGTACAACTCATGGTTTATGTAGGTTTCTCTATAATGTCATCTTTAAAATGTTGGACTCCCGAACCCCTGGACTAACTCGGGGGTCGTAACAGAATGTAAAAAAGTTAAGTTACCTCATTTACAACAATAAAAGTGTTTCTAATAATATGAACGTGTTAATCAATAATTATGTAGTAGGCATGAATACATCAGGCTAGGCCTAAACAAACATGGTTACGGAGAGGCACAACCACAACCTAACAGTTGTTGTTGTTACACCCAAAAATCAACTAGGTTTCAACAATGCTGTCTGTCTATAGGATGGATATGGTCAAATGGTTTGTTGAAAACAAACAAACAAAATATTAGGTTTACATTAAGTCATTTACAGCCTCGTAGACTCGATTTTGCGTCGTTGTAACTACAACTCCCAAGATGCATTGCGCGCAGGTTCTCGATAGCTGCTAGCTGCTATGCTAGTTAAACGGTGAAGCAGGCAGGCAGTGGTTGATTTGACCACTGTTGTTTAAAAAAAACCTTTGATAATGAGTTCTTCAGACGAAAAATGTAAAGGCACAAAACGACCCGCATCTCCAGATGAAGTATGTGATTTCCATCATCATGTATTTTTGAATTGAATAACGTTACAGCAGATCTGGCATTTTGGTGTACCAGAAATGTTAGCAGATTGTTAGCAGTGGGTTGCAACTATTTTTAAATGTTAGTCGTGTGCTAAAGGAGTTACACGTGCATCTTACCAGTGTATTATCTGCCTTTTCGGTACTTTATTCTGATTAGACTATAAATAATTTTGCATAACTACTGTAGCTACTGTAGCTAATTCAGTTCCAGGTGATATGCGTTTTTTGCATTCATAGATAAACGTCATTTTAATGTTTATATGTATATTTAAAATGTATATTATGTTTAAAAATAAATATTTCATTATTAAAACTAATTGTTAAGTGCCTTTCTATAACACTAATGAATCAACTGAATCTGTTTTAACCTGTTAATGCAGACAGGATCCACAAAATGGACAAAGGCAGATTTAGGGACAGACGAAAGGAAGCAGAAGTTTCTGAGGCTGATGGGAGCAGGAAAGGTACATTTCTTTCTGTTATTAAATCATCTCAAACAAGTATTAACTAATTAGAACATGAACATCACGCATTCTTTAATTGTTTTCATGCATTGACAGAAAGAGCACACTGGACGCCTTGTTATTGGGGATCACAAGTCAACTTCCCATTTCCGCAGCGGTGAGTCTCTAGGGTGGAAGTGAAGGGTTGCTGGAAAGTAATTGCAGTCTCCTATTGTTTTGGATGAGACACTTCAAAATCCCCGGTTTTATGGGGACTGGATCAGATGACATCCTAACGCCACATATCCTTTTCCCTGCAGTGCAGCTTTAGAGAACATGCTCAGACCTTTAAACCAACCACCGGTAATGTTCTGTCATTTACTGTGCACATAGGACTACGTTACAATGCAGTGTACACTTGTAAAATATTAATCAACTACCTTATTACAGTTTCTTATTGATAAACGCTGTGTGAAACAAACCATGAGGGAGACATTTTATCGAAATGCGAAAATTCTATATACTGACAACTGTATATTCATTTATATGTGGTACACTTCTTTGCCATTTTTGCTTTAATGCTGATATAGCAATAAATATGTATACTGGCAAATACTGACAAGTATGATGGTCTTTTATCGTTTGTAATGATGTTATATTGTATTTGTTTGTGTGTCTGTAGGGTCAGAGGATCAGAAGATTAACGCAGAGCTTGAACACCAGTATCAACAGGGTCTGGATGGGAAGATGTCAGGGAGAAACAGGAGACACTGCGGCCTGGGCTTTAGTGAGGTCTGAGCACTCTAATAATAAGCTGTGGTGTAAAATAATGTTGATCCTTGAAAATTTCATATTGGGAACTGCAGAATGTGAGCAAACTGCTGTGCTTCCTCTTCACAGCCCGATCCGCCCACTGAGAGGCCGAGCGCCGCTGTGCCCGAGGAGTCGGACGGTTCAGAAAAGCCCAGTGAACAACCATCAGAACCACACGAGGAAGAGAAAACACCTAACACAGAGCTCAAAAAAAAGGAGGAGCACACAGACTCAGAGGATAAGAAAAAAACTTTTAAAATGGCGTTTGTAAAAGCCACATAAATGGCTTTTTTGTTGTTGTTCTTGTTGTTTTTTTCTCCTAAAATGTTCTAGTAATTGATTGAGAGTGAGAGCATCTTTAAAATGGATTTTTTTTTTTTTTTTTTTTTTTTTTAAGTAAGTACGTCTGTGCCATGTTATTTGGACTTGCTTGAACTTGTTGAGAACTATTTCTTCCCTACAAATTAAAGAAATAGTTCCTACAAGAAAGGAAATCCGGCCTCAATCTACTCCGCTCCAAAATTTCATATGAACATGAGGATGAGCAGAAACTGAGATTCTCATGAAACTGAGATACATTAAGTTGCAGACAAAATGTCCATTGTGTGTATCAAGTCAATGTGTGAATATCAATAAAGAGAAAAATGATTCTGTGATTGTGATTATAAAACTTACTATATATATAGGGCACGTACACAAGAGTAAATGTTCTTGTTAAAGGAGTAGTTCACTTTAAAAAAAAAAAACTTTTGCTGATAATTTACTCACCCCCATGTCATCCAAAATAACCATGTCATTCTTTCTTCAATCAAAAAAAAATTTAAGATTTTTGATGAAAACATTCCAGGATTTTTCTCCATATAATGGACTTCAATGGGAGCCAAAAGGTTCAAGGTCTAAAAGACACTTTCAGTACAAACTTTAAACTGTTCAAAGGCCTTTAAATGATTCCAGACGATGAATGTGTCTTATCAAGTGAGTTTGATTCGTGACTCTCCTGTTCAAAGTCGTTCATCAAAATTAACTAATATTTTTCGTGTCATTTGATTCATTCAACGAACGAAATGAACAAATTGACTTGGAAAAAGATTCGTTCATTTTGATGAAAGAGTTTGAACAGGAGAGTCACAAACGAGCATCACAGAACAGAGCAAGGCGAGCATTTGTGCTTATAAAACTTTTTTTTTTTTTTTTTAATGAGCGATCGTTTCGCTTGATAAGACCCTTATTCATCGTCTGGAATCGTTTAAAGCCCTTTGAACAGTTTGCACTGAAACTGTCTTTTGGACTTTGGACCGTTTGGTTCCCATTGAAGTCGGAGAAATCCTGGAATGTTTTCCTCAAAATCCTTAATTTCTTTTCGACTGAAGAAAGAAAGACATGGACATCTTGGATGACATGGGGGTGAGTAAATTATCAGCAAAAAGTAAAAAAAAAAAAAGTGAATTACTCCTTTAAACTGGTAAATATAACACCTCATGCCTGCAAACAATTATAAAATTAGAAACAATTTAGAAATTGAATAATGATGTTTTAAAATGAAACGGTACATGTAAGTGTAATAACTTTGTGACGTACTTTATTTAGAGCATGAGCTCTCTATTGTCTTTCAGAGTACTCAAATTATGATTTTTAATGATGAATCAGATAACATGGAAAATGACAGCTTACTTGAGTTTTGCACAATAAAAACACTGCAAGTATTTTACAATCAAATATAGTGATTTTGATATTATTTATTAAATACATAACACAGCAAACGATTAAGTACCTTAAGCCACGATTACATTTTAACAAAACATATCGTCATGCAAAATAAACCATTTTCGATGTTAGGATAATAAAACCGTAGCTGGTAATGAATAAAAACATATAAAACGTTCTGAACATGAGAACCTGAACGATAGAATGTGAATTATAAATATTTTTATACAAAAAAAATCCACAAAAATATTGTTCTTTGGATTCCCAAGGAAGCTTATCACAATTTAGCTCTCAGACATGGCTTTGGCTGCAAAACAAAACATTAAAATTACTTTAAAATGTCTGGACAATATTGTGTATGATACAATGTTCAATATAAAATCTCACCTATGACCTGCTTCCTCTTGATGGAGGCCTCTGTGGCGAGAGCACGAGGGACGCTCATGATCCTCTCCTGATGCTGAAGAGCGTTATCCAGCTCAGAGAAATCGATCTGCTCTGCATCCGACTGTCCCATAGATGTCCCGCTGAAATATCAGAACGGAATACTCAACATCTAAGCACATAGTCCATTTACATGTGCGCATCTTATTTTTCCAACGTACCTTGACTTAGACAGAAGGCTCTTTATCTTTGCTACGGTGCGAGAACGAACCTCCTTCTCTTCTGGAGTCAGCTCTTCATCTGACTCCACGTCCATGAGTCGCTTTGGGATGGGCACCTTCTGTGGTGTAGACAGCTGAGGCGGGACAGGGGGGGAAGTTCACCAGTGCATTACAAGTAACGCGAGTTGTGTAATCAGATTACTTTTTTCAAGTAGTAAAGTAACATTACTTTTAAATTTACTTCAATACTTTTTCAAACCCATTTATTGACTGACAGCGCTCCTCATGTTGAGAGAAATCAGGAGTGAGTGCAGAGGTGTTGTGTGTGTGAAAAATGCACTGTAAAAAATATTTTCAAGATTTGTTATCACAACATATTTTCTTTTGTCAAATCAACTTTATAATAATTTATTTACTTGAGATATCTTATTATTTTGAGTTTCTGATGATTAAATTAATCTCCTTCATTGTATTAACTCACTTTTTCCAGTTCAATGAACTTAAAATTTTAAGGCAACCAGGTTACTTACTTTTTTAAGTTAAACCAACAATATTTTTTTTAGAGTGTGATGGTTATTTTAAATCTAGATTAAATGTGAACATGGATTTACTCATCTCACTTGCACAAGATTCAGTATTGCTCAAAATGTATAAGAACAATGAAATGCAAACTCAGATTATTACACACACCTACAATAATTAATTAAATGATGCAGGTATACTTTATGTATTCAATCTCACTTTATTAACCACTGTCGATCTTCGATTATCCAATTAAACCACAATACTAAGCAAAAATGACTTTAGATATACATCGCGATTTGTTTAATTTTTGTTCGTTTTGTTGACTTGTTTCTTCTGCGATCCAGAATGGCAGAACAGCTGAAAGGTTTGTTTGAGCGGCACCCTCTAGTGTACAGATGTAAATTTGCAATTTCCTTCACTTGAGAACTTATGGTGTGAAAGGGATTTACATTTGCCAAAACTTTACTTTTTATTGTTATTAAAAGACAAATATGCAAGCCCAGCCCAGGTGAGAAAAAGTATTGCAAAAAGTAACATAAAAATCTCCATAAAAACTAACTTAGTAATGCAATTAGTTACTTTGTTAAGGTGCAATGTAATATTATAATGCATCACTTTTAAAAGTAACTTTCCCCAATATTGGCTGTAAAAACAAAGGAATCAACAGGGTTTATCTCAAATCAAGATCTCAACTTGGTTATAATTAACTATAATTGAACCCTATAAAGCAGCCTATATCATATATGCGCATGCACATATATAAACATGATCAAACCTTCACTGACAAACCCGTTGTACACGATCTTCTGTCGTCTGTTTGATAGTTTATACTGTTTTAGCAAATAAAAGCTCTTGTAGTATATAATACAAAAACGTCCTCCTTCAAGTCATAGTGCATGTGTCTTTTTGCTGTGAAAGGTTTTACTTATTTTTATGAAGTAAATGTAAAAATAACTTGGTTATATTTCAAAACAAACACCTACTGGACTGAAGAAATTCACTTACCTATGTTTTTTTGAAAGTGCGTTATGCATTTTATGTATGTAGTCTGCTATTCTGTTATAAAGATATTTACAAGTTATCAGAATTTCATCTTAATTTTTGAACAAATATCAGCAGACAAATGCACCAGATTACATATTCTCACTTAGTTTGGGCGTCTGAACATAATTAAAGTGTTTTTTTCCCACCTCATCGAGCATGAGCTTTGTATTCCTATTATATCAGCCTTAGAACCCTGATCTATCACACGTTACTCAACACATCAGGCTCCAAACAGGGTTAAATCCAGCAGGGAAGGATTGAACTGCTTGAATCGGGTGAATTTGGTTCTAAACATGTGAGCACTGAATGCACGTAAACATAACTACAATTTGACTGTACCTCTTGGGTAAGATCGAACTCAAAGTCCACATGCTCCAGCTCCTGTTCGCTCATTGGCCGGGCCTCGACCGTCAGCCATTCATCTGGTGCCGGCCGTTGAGATTTGGTGAGTAAGGTTTGTTTCGGTCGCTGCAAATCAATGACTTTTTCCCATCCCTACTAGGGCGAAGACAACAATATACAATATTTAGGCAACACACACAACACAATTCCTCTGGAAATTAGCCTTGATACTGGATTTAAAACCTAATATGGTTCAAACACAACATCTTTAAGGTGAGGGAGCTGATATCACTTGTGAAATTATAAATGATTTACAGATCAACTGGTCCAAACAAGCTTTTTGTAATATCTGTAGTTAACAGTTTGAGGAAAATCAAATGTCTGGCATCCATTTGCATGCTTTTGTAGTTCTCCTGCACTTACATTCAAGCCTGAAGAGACAGGAAAATAAGAGGGAAAACAGTTGTTTACTTACATGCGTTAGACAAGTGTGTCACTGTTGCAAATCAAACCCATCACCAAATTACAACATGCTGTAGAACTTTGTAGTTGAACACATCTAACCATGCATAGCTTCCAATTAAACAATCATGCAAAACCATCCATTCGTCCTAACTTAAAGGAACACTCCACCGTTTTTTGAAATAGGGCTTATTCAGTGTCCCCTACATTAAAATAGTTTGGCAAAAGCATTTTTTTTTTTCAAAGTGCATGCATTGTCTTAGTTTGGCAGCGCCGACGCTAGCTTAGCTTAGCATAATGAATGGAATCCTATGTTGCCAAGTAGCATGTCGTGAGTTAAAAGTGATTAAAAACAACAACGAGAAACAAACTTCTTGTGGCCTGTGTATTCGCAACGAGTAAAAATATTTCAACTTAAGACTAGGCGATTAAATAGGCAGATATTGATTTGGGACTATATTAGGGTGAATCACAGGCGAAGCACTGCTGTAGGATTCCATTCATTATGCTAAGCTAAGCTAGCGTCGGCATTGCCAAACTAGGACAAAGCATGCACTTTAAAATAGTTTGGCAAAAGCATTTTTTTCAATGTAGGGGACACTGAATAAGCCCTATTTCAAAAAACGCCGGAGTGTTCCTTTAACCAGTAAGAGGATACCATCTACAACTCAGTAGTCAGTTTACTGCAATGAAAAACAAGGTATTTAGACAACTTCTCATTTTATTTGTGCCTTTAGTGCAAAACCCAAAATTCAGATGTTGGTGGATTGATGTACATTATATTTTCTCAGTTTAGTTGTGATTTAATGGTTCTTTTTTTCTTCTGACAAACAGGCTAACAGTGGCGAAGGTGCTGGTGTGGTGAAAGACCACGATGAGTGCAGTCTTCTGTCCTGTAGATTGTACATTTGGACTGGAAGCCAAAGACTTTAAGAGTAGATGGCCTTAAAGCTAACAGACAAACTGCGGCTTTG